TGTTGTTTGTAGCCGCGATTGGGATCGCAATCTGACTGATTAGAGTGTGCATTTGTGCAAAACTCATCGAATACCAAGTCGCCGGTTTCTCTATCGACAGACCAAAGAAAGAGTTCTCATAACGATTATTACCCATATATTGAGTATTTGATGATGAAGTTGAGCCGAAATTCAAGAAATCTATCAAAGAATAAATGTATCATATAATTCTACTACTCCTATACATATAAATTATGTTTTCACATATATCGACGGGCAAAACTCTTAGATAGAGAAATCAAAACATCGAACAAACTAGTTTCTTTTTATTGCTTCGAACTCTTATCTGACATCGAATAAAATCGAACTTTATTTCTCATCATAACAAAAATTAGTAATGTCATGAATGTCGTAAGAATCGAATCATATGAAACAATATTTTTCGTGTTAGTAAAAACTATGATATGATGGCATAAATTCTATTTATCAAAAACTCACTACGAAGTTCCACAAAGATACTCAAAAGATATCATTTTCTCGTCTGAAAAAACTGGCGTTGCTAGTCGTAGATGCATAACGAAGTACATCGTAATTGACTTACTTATCGGAGTGTTGACACAAAGTCGAAGTAAAGAAACTATTGTCAAAAACGTGAACCATCGCATTGCCATGATTTCGAAAAATTCAATCAATCGATTTGTTTTGTTTTTTTATCGCCTTGATAAATCGAGCATACATTTATATGTGCTATTGTATATATCGACAAAAAAATTCGTCATGGTTAATTGTTTACAGATAATTTATCATTACAAAAATGATCACAGTCAATTTAGACACAGTATGTTCCGACACCTAAAGCGTTGATTCCATAATCAATTAGACATAAGCCTATAATTCAATTAGAAATTCACACTTTTTTCTTTTCGTGAATAATGTATGTTGTTCATTATATTGCTTAAAAGGTGTGAACGAAAAAAAATATTCAACACATACTAATTTATTTATCTTTCATCATATATAGCTTTGGGACGCGGACGCAAGCGACTTGCATTGATAAATGATAACAATGTAGAACGATTCAGAATGTTCGTAATTGAATATCGACCGAGCCATGGGGCAATGGCCCAGACTTCGAAATATCATATTTACAAATTGTTTTGTTTACAAGATCTCTACGAACGAGACTATCGATACTAAAATTATTAAGTTTAACACGATAATAGGCTTGACATAGATTGAAATTAAATGATAATAAAAGGATGTTGGAATGTCCAGTAACAAAGTAGGGTGAATCACATGAGATATCACGTACTCTGATTCCATATTTTTCCATCGTTTCTGGATGAATGTCATAAAAAAACAATAGCATACGATCTTATGTTGATCTAAAGAGATAAAGAGTTCATTGCATTAAAACTAATACCCAAACAGGTAAAGGGCATCATATTGTACGACGTTCATTGATAGTTTTTTCTCTGAAATTACTTTTTGAGAAATTCAAACTAAGTGTCATTGCAATCATTGTATTTATCTTTCGGTTACAATCATGTTTTTCTTGTGCAATTTCGATCGACAAAATAGAATGTTTAGTGAAGCTGCTTTATCAATATGACAGATAATCTATGGAAAAATAAATAATCTATTCGTAAGATCCACTTCATATTTCAAATAAAAGACGTCTTAAGACAACAAGATTAATTCCTTATGTCTCATTTTCAACACAGATAAACAGTGAATCTGGTTGAGACTAGGATTTTTACATCTGACTAAGAAATTTTGCGTGGGCATGGCTCTTTGTCAGTTAAGAGAGAAACTCCAATGAATAATATGAATCAAGAGAACAACTAACATCGAAATAATAAATCCCATAAAAATAATTATAGTTACTTACTCATCTAACAGAACGTAGTACAGATACAAAAACTGAATAAACATGGTAATATTCATGTTATTATTAGATTTATGCCACTCTATAAGTGAGTTGAGAAACAAGTATTCGATAGAACTTCATGACAAAGTAAACGACGCACAAGTCCTAGAGTATTAGATATCATTAGATTAACCCTCTTTGGAGATTTTTATATATGGAAAATTGTACAACTAAGAGATCGAATTGACGCAAACATGTTAAACAACTTTGAAAAGTTTGAATCAAAAGTACTTTAAAAGATGAGTCTTTTGTTAAATTTCGTTCTTTGTTAAAAGAAATACGCACTAGAATTAGCAATAATATTGATATGTTTACAAAACTAGAGAATACTGCTAAAAATGTATTTATCTATATTAATCTTTCAGTTTTGGAGTATAATGTAACTTTTTTTTCTCATAAAATGAATAATTGTATTAACATGTATAAGCGTTTATTTAATAATTTTTGCTTCATTCATTCATATCTGGTGAAGTTGATGTTTCTCTAAGTGATTTGATGAAGTACAATCAATTTATACATAGATAAAAAGAAGATTCATCATATCAAAATATATTGAAGAAGAAGTCTTTGAAAGATTCTAAGAAGCCGAGACATTCATTGGCATATATATCTACTTGGTAAATAAACATGATTCATGACTGAAATGCTGAGAGTACCAAAGCATGATAAAAATTGTTACAATCTATTGATGACTCACAATATGAAAACTTTTGGTTATACCTTCATCATTATTTAATTAGATGAATATCAGTTATTTTATGTCTACTTACATGCTAAATACAAAATATCTTTATGTATCAACTGCAAGTATCCATCCCAAATGAATTGTTATGAAAATTTTATTTGAAATCGAAAAATTCAAGCACGCTGATATAATTATAATCCAGATGGATATCTTCTTTACAAAACCATTGAAGACAAGTATATTTCTATTACGTAGGTCGTCTTTGAGTTGAGACAACAACGCAAAAATTTCAAGAATTAACTGTAAATATCTTTCTACACATTTTTCACTCTTTTTTTTTCTACTGTAGGTATTATGATTGATAACTGCTTTTCAAATGCTGGATATCGAAGTGTCATATGAGTCTCTTGAGTCACGTATCATCAAATGACAGTATTTGATAAAGAGTGTCACATAAATTTTGATCCCCTTCAAGTAATACCCTTTTCTTATATGTTTTTTCGATAGAAAAGATTAATATTCACAGTATATATACTAGACATCTAGATTTACTCTACGCTAGAATCTCAGCTTTCTATCTCTCATCATCACAGAGATACAAGTAATTTAAAACTCATTGGAATTTTTTTAGAATAATGGATGGACCAGAATGAATGACCGCATGTTGTGTATCATTTTCTTATCATCTAATGAGCTGCGTTAAAAAAACAAAACATACTACAAGATGCAGCGTGAAAAGCTCTACAATCTACATAGTGAAACTTATCTTAACTGTGTATCTTTTATTTTCAAAAAAAGGTACGACCATTTTTACGCAGCATCGAAAATCGGTCTCACATTTTTTTTGAAAACAAAAGGTGCACAATTAAAATAAGCTTTACTATGTAGATTGTAGAGTCTTTCACGCTGCATCTTGTGGTATGTTTGTTTTTTTAATACAACTCTTTAGAGATGATAAGAAAACGGAATACAAAACACAGTCATTTATTCTAGTCCATCCATTAATTATTTAAAAAAATCCTATGCATTTTAAGTTACTTGTATCTTTATGACTATAAGAGATAGAAAGCTGCAATTCTAGCGTAGAGTAGATCTAGATGTTTAATATATATGCTGTAAATATTAACCTTTTCTGTAGAAAAATCATATAAGAAAAGGGTATTATTTGAAGGGAATGAAAACTTATGTGACACCCTTTATAGTTTATCATTCAAGCCATTGTTATATACAACTGTATTAATAACCATAATGAATCGGAACAATATGACCATCAAATTCAAGTCCATGACTTTATTTCTAAGCACAACGAATTATGATTATTCGAGTCATTTTATATTCATGTTTAGCTCGAAGAAAAACGGATTAATATATTATAGTTTATTGAATCAGATAAATAGTCAATGCGGTCTATTTGATGTGTAGAAGCCGATCATAATTATTGAAACACTATTAGAGTTCCTTCATACTTTGAATAGATTCCGCTCTATTGGAAAATCAATCGTTTTTAAGATTCTTATAAATGGATGGATTATTTTCTTCAAGTGAAATTATCGAATCTCTATAATTATTTATTGATAATAGAAGGTCACACGCTTGTGTATCTTATTCACCCATCAAGTTGGCCTATCATGAAATCAAATCTATTATTCATTATAGCTTTCCGGATTCGTTAACGCATATCGAATAATATAATGATGATATGGTGTGGATGTGTAAATGCAGGTTGTAAAGAGAAGCAGCTGATCCAAATCTACCTACTGTCTTATTTGATCTACTTGCTTTACCTTAGATTAAATTTTCTACTGTGTTGTCAAATATAACGGCTAAGTATAGTGAATTCGGTACATATGTCGCTAGATTCTATATGCATCTAGAATACACCAAATTGACGATTAAAAGAAATAGAAAGATAGAAGAATAATGCTTTAAAAACTAAGATGAAAATTATGAGAATGCGAGAACTTGACTCGAATTAACAAGAATAAAATCATGTTGTGAAGAAATCACTACTGATCTTGTACAGTATATTAGTTAAGTGATGAAATTTTCAGACTTTTTGACAGTGACTGGGGTGTGTTTTTTTTTAATTTAACATCGATTTGATTACAAATGATCTTACTTGCCAATCAAAAAATAGAAATATTTGATTTTTTCCTTTAAGAACATTATTCCGTTGATACACTTGTTCAATGTTAATAGTCTATTAAAATTCAGCAAATAGCTAGAAAGACTCAGTTTTGTAGTTCGATTACAATATTTAATGGAACATCTTTTGAAAAAAAGACAGATAACTCTCTTGATTTGGATATATTGAACTTGTAATGAGTTTTCAAACATTCTTATAATCAAAAATACTCATTTCGTTTTATGCAATATTAGTTTTATTTCGACAATTTTGATTTTCTTTTAATAACAACTCGAGATTATTATTGTAAAAAATGAAATAAATGTGAAAAAAATAAATGAAAAATTTTGACGAAAACCCATATTTGATATACTTTTTTTACATTCTAATGGTTTCAAATCTTCATATTCCGGTAATTTATCTTGATTTAGAAATTTATAATTGTCTGTACGACCATATACAATGAGACGTGAAGCATCATGAAAAAAATTCTGCCATTGAGTTACTAATTCTGATGTCCATGTTACTTGTTTCAACCATTGTTCAAGTGTTTCAACGTTTAATGATGATCTTTAGACAAAAAGAAAAAACACGCTGAGATTATTTCGATGAAGAAATGAAAACATCTATACATACTCAGAACTATTCATTATTTTTTTCCATGATTCTAGAGAATTGACCGTCACACAAAAGTATAAATCGCTCATACGAGGATAATAAGCAAATATATGTCGACACATTTCATCTTTTGTTCTTTTACCACCCTAAATAATCATATCTATAAAATAAACTATTGTCTGTTTCGCAATATAGTGTCCTTCACTATTTTTTTGAATAATTCAAGAACGTAATCAATTAGAAAGCTGCGATTTTTGAGCAATTGATAGATGACTTCAAAGAACTTCAGTCTATAAAAAAAAATCGAGAACCGATCTTACTTTGAAGGTAATCGATTTTCTAAATCTTTTAAGGATTCGAATATAAGATTATTCTATTTCAGCACTTTTGAAAATCTTGTATGATCACTAGATTGGCTGGCGCATCTCCTATCGAGCTACGAAAGCCAATTTTGATAGCTATTGTGATTCAAGACATATGCAAATTTTCCTGAAGTTTACTGATCTCTTTATCGTTTACTAAGTGTCCTTTATACAAAACTACCATTATTGAAAGATTCAGCGTAGTTGATCAACTCTATTTGTATCATTGTTCGAATTACTCAAACTCGAAGATAAGGTAATGAGTGATCTTTAGTAAAAATGATATATCTCTTGAACTGCAATAGCTATCAAAGTTAGGCTTCCGTAGGTCGGTACGAGATGCTCCTGTCAATCTATGCATCGTTCAAGACTTAAAAAAACTATTCAAGTATCTTAATCTTATAGTAGAATTTTGAAAAATGTAGCACCTTCTCTAACTAATTGCGGTCTTGAGTTATTTAAAAAATAGTAAAGGACACTACATTTTGAAACGAATAACAACTTTCATTCAACTATTTTACCAAAGTTATTTCGCTTTTGTGTTTTGTATTATAAACACATCGAGTAGCTAATTCATCACCCTAAAACAAATATGATTAATAGAAAAAAAGAAGAAAAGAAAATTATTACTGGATAAAGTTGAATTGGTTTTGGTAGCATATTTTGATATTGAAAATTGAAATCATATGATTCAGCATTAAATAAATAATCAACTGCCGTTTGATTTCGAATAATCTTTGTCCATAGACTTAGACCTTGATTATGAAAATATTTTATTAGATCGATAAATATTTTAACTCTACCTTGTAAATGGGTATGTGGAAATGCTACAAGCATTGTTATTCCTGTTTGAGGAAAATTCTATAATATATATAAGATAAATTTATTTCTGTATAAGCATTTAATTCATATTTACTTTTGTAGTCTCACCAGGACAATAAGAGTCAATTATAAATCGATCAACACCTGGTGGAATAGCAATAGCATTGAGACTTGATTCTGTACCAAGTGTAAGATAGCCAAGATCATATTGACGACGTTCTTTTCCCAGATAAAATCGAATACCTGTACTATCACGACGATCTAAATATAATAAGCAATAATGAGATTTCTTATAATCTATATTAGATAATGTTCGATACTAGGTATTTGTTTGGGATTACTATAATGCGCTTGAAACATATAATATTTGATTTCAAAATCACCACCTATTGGATATCCGGTAATGTCTGGAAATTCTACTATCTATATAAATGAAAATCTTTTGCAAGTAGACGTTTATTTTGCAAAACTTACATCATCACCACCAACAGCCCAAGTAGTAGCAATATTTGCACTGCATGCACTAATACTTTCAGAAATTTCATCACATACACCAATAGGTAAATTGTTATCGTCAAACACAGTTGTAGGATTACATTCATACAATACTACATGATGAACAAGATCTCGATTATTTGGATCAATTATTGTTTTATACTAAAAATAAGAATATTATTACTAAATAGTCTGAATATACTTAACTAGAAATGAAATCTATACTGCAATTGCATGTCTTCTTTCTAAAAAATTGCTTGGTACTTTGAAGATTTGACAAAAATAAGTCGTATCAGTTGATGGTACAATATACTACAAGAAAATGTAACAGTAAACTCCAAACAATAACGTCATATCTAATAGAATAACTAACATCTTGAAACTGAAAGTCTATATACTCCAGATGAGCAAACTTTTCTTCTGATGATGGATTACCATAAGATTGAAGTGGAATAACACGTGAACCTCGTCGATTTTCATGATAATATATTAAACCATCTGATTGAGACATATCAGGATCTTGAAGACCATAAGCAAAGATAAGAATATTAGTACCAGACTAAACATGTAGCAAATATTATAACAGTTTTCTGAAATAGATAGATAACAAACTTTAATTGGAACATCCATGCTATCACAAGTATCAAGAAAACGTTTGAACTGAATGGCTGTCCAACCATTTTCTTCATGACCTTGAAGTGCAAACCAATCTATTGTAGTATCATCAATTACTGGTCTCGAAAAATTATACGCATATCGATCCTATGAATAAATAAATAGATAAGATCTTAGTTATAAACCAATGAAAAAAAAGAATTATGTATAGACTTGAAAATGAACTTGACCTGATTGATCAATCCATCCAAGACCAATATCAGCACCTTTCATTCCACCAGCTATGTGTATAACAAATATGAAAATGATATTATTTAATAAAAATGATTTACCTGGACTAATACCCAAAGCAATCCATCCTGTTGTTTTAATATGTAATTCAAAAGTAATTTCTTGTTTAGTTTCATCAACTATCCACCAAAGATCTACAACATTAGGCTCAAGTTCAATGAAATATGAGTAGCTAGTATATGGTTGAAGAGGACTTGTAATTCCATGAATTTTTCGGAAGATTAACATCCATAGAATTACATAAGAAACAGCATATATCTTCGTCATTTGTTTTTATCGACATAAAATTGTTATTATGAAAGATTTTCATCGTGTATATATATATATATATATATATATATAACGACATAAATAATCTTAATTCGTTGAAAATATTTATCTTGACATTCTCTCCGAGCGATATCAGTTCAAGTTTTCTTTTTAGATCATAAAAATGTTTTTACCGACAGTTAAAGTTACTAGAAATCAAGCGATATGAATTTACACAATTCAATTAGAAATCATTTATGTCCTGAAATGATCAGAAATTTTGTTTTTTTCGTTTCATCAGTCAATGAGGTGATTGTGTGGCAAGATACTTTATTGTGAAGATATATATTAGTATATTTCTTATTTTTGTAACTATTACATGCACTAATTCACATAGACTAGATTTTGAAACAAATTATTTAATAATATTTTAGTAATAGAATTAAATTTATCGCTAAGAAAATAATCATAGTCAAACGAAAAATAACATCTCGTATATTATTATCGATTGATATTTCTGTCATATTGTTTTTCTTTGACATCTTCATAAGTTGGTAATCGAAGCAATGTTGAAAATTCAAAATTTTCTGCTCGACCAAACAAAGTTTTTCATGATGAATATGTGTTTATATTTAAACATATAGTCATTTGATTCATTGAAGGATCATAAGTAAATATATGAAGACACGTTTCATTCTGTATCTGTACGCTTTCACCTCTCTAAGAATAAAAGCAAACTTAACACTCGTAAATAACTTTTTATTGATCGAACTATTAAAGTAATATGCGTTTTATTCATTGTCTTTAAAATACATCGAATAGCAAAATCAACACTCTTAAATATCGATAGAATATGAAAAATGAAAAAAAAAACCAAACTATTTATATCTTACTGGATATAATTTAATTGGCTTTGTGAAACGATTTTAAAATCGATAATTACAATCGAATGATCCACCATTAAATAAGTATTGTACAGCAGTTTTATTTCGAATTATTTTTGTTCATATACTTCTATCTTCATTTCAAATAATTCTAAAACAACCAGATTTTTTTTCTCTCGACTGAAGAAACATCGTATAAAGTATGATGAGTTTATTAAAATGTTTGATTGCACGTGTACAACCACGTGTCCACATGTATAGACGTAATTGATAACGTTTAACTAAAGATAATCGAGATCGAGGAATTCAAATAGGAAACTAAAAATTCGGCTGGTGGCTGAATTGACCACATTAATTACTGTAATAAAAAAGATTAATGTTTTTTAGTTGCTAGATATCCTAGTGCATAGCAATGTGTCATAACGAGTGAGGGTGTCTATTGCTGAGCCTTCTCTTCATTGATGCTCACCACTACATGCTATAGCTGAGTGTGGGTCTGCGTTTGGGTATCGGCAAGGATGTAGATGAAGAGAAAACACACACATTCCACAACCTGTTCGCACATCGTTCTCAAAGTTATAGCAAAAATTGAACTTGAGCTACTCTTTACACTGACACACTTCACCTTGCCAACTAATGTCGCTTTCAAGAAAACCTTTCTCTCACCAAGATCTACCGAAAATTGATTCATTCACAGAACATAGAGTTTTGATGTCTATTGAGAGACCATTTGACATTGAAAAAACTGTGTCTCTCTTAATATGACCATGCATGTGACGCTCCGTTTCAGGCTACGATATGTATAGATAGCGTGTCATCATCATTCAGTGTTATGTGATGATCTTTATCTAGGTATCCGACAATACGAGTGGCTGATCAACATGTATGTACTCCTTTTTTCAATTATTAGCCGTTATCATCATATGTATGCTCTGGTTCTCTATGCTTCGATTTAGTATTACACAGCTGGAGCGGCTCTCAAAAGTCAAAGTCGTTATTTAGCTTGGTTCTTTTGTTTAGAGTCAGAGAACGTTTTACATCAAATTGATTTTGTTACTCGTCACTCCCACAAATAAAAGAGACTTCAATCTGAGTATAACATCATTTTAGTTCTTTTCTTTATTCACCCATATTGATCGAATGATTATTAATGAATAGACTGATCTACTTATTCTAGATATAAACATGTTTTTCTTGATTCTCGCTTTTACTACTTGGAAGATGATTAGCATTCATGGTGAATCATTATTTTCATTAGCTTGCTCACATGGCAATGAAACGTGTACTCTGTACAAAATCGATATTGACCTAGTTGGTGGCCGTGCTATATCAAATCAAATTGCCGAATGGCATCAATCAAATGTTGTCGATGGATTTGGATCCATAGCTGGATTCAAGAATGGCAAGATAGGTTATATTGTAATGACAACTAATTGTGACTCTCAAGCAAATCTTATAAATATTAGTGATCTATCGCAATCAGTATCATCTATAATGATGAAGACATCGTGTACGCAACCAATTCACTCAATGGCAAATAGATGGTTGTTGGCACTAGGTACAGCTTCCAATGGTGTTGGTGGTTCATATCCTGTATCATTATATATATTTGATCCAATATCAGGTTTATCAAATCGTGGTGAGTTTTCTTCATTTCTTTTATATTAAGCGAAAAGGCACTTTTCTGATCTTATCACTTACTTTTTATCACGTTTATTAAAATTCTACGATTCAGTCGGTATCCAAAGACCTCCCGTTCAACAAATTCCTGTCAGAAATAAGTAGTTAGACTCATGTAGTCTCACTCCCAAACAATGTGTTCATGAACTTGTGTAACAATTCTTTAAGAGCTTTCACTTATTCCAAATGTATTTTGTCGCTATGATTGTCTCGAGTAGAAATTTCTATACTGAATAACATCATAATCGAGGCTTTGCACTATTTTACAAACAAGCTGAGCAAACAGAGGCCACAGCTAATGGCAAATGTGGACAAGAGGATTGAAATCTGTGCAGAACCGCAGCACGCATAAAACTATACTAGGCTAATATACAGATCAATATGTTTAAGGCAAACTATAAGATTAACACAAAATTCGAATCATATCCAATTGCAAAGTATTGAAGAACTAATTATATCCTCACTTGGTATGCTGGTTTTCTTTTATGATGTCAGGGCTTATGTAATGAAACTACGGAATTTCAGGAGTTCCATGCAAAAATTTCAAAAATACTTAGACATTGTTTGACCTCTATCAAATGAAATAATGACTATTTTCATATTTATTTCTTTTAAGTACTCTTTTTTCCATTCGTAGACATTGTTCAATTCAATACTACGTTTACCAAGTCATATCAAGTATTACATCCACAAACGGGCTTTTCAGCTCTTAATTTAAATGCAACTGCGCCAATTTTTTATACAGTATGTACTTCGAATCTTGTCTTCTGGAAAGCAAAAATGTTTGGTTTCACTCTGTCTCGTATATTTTATAGATCTTGTACAATCTAGTTAACAACACACGTCACATTCTATCCATTAATATTAAAACTGGAGGATGGTCATTAAAGCAAATTGGTGATAATTTATTACGTAATTTCGCATTTTCGAATGAATTAAATGCACCTGTTTGTGACTGTTCGCTTGGTGGTATTTGTGTACTCAACTGGGAGAATGCTCAATGGGATTTATTCTTACCAATTCCAAATTTTAATAGTTTTATGGATTGGGCATTTTCAACTGAGACACAAACTATGTATTTCATTCGAAAACAAAACATCATTGTAATTGATCTATCGAATAAGTTTTCATTTCAATATCGTGTTTTACCATTAATTGAACAAACTGGATATATTAGTGGTATTGACAAGACAGTAGTGTTGGATATGAAGTGATTCTATTATTATTTATATACGAAATTATATTTTAATGTTGAATTTCATCATCATTGTCTATCTAAATAAAGCGATCAGTAAAAGGATTGAGTGCTATCGAAGAAAAATTAGAAAACTAAGCTATTTGCAAGTGTATTACCAAATTATTATTAAATATTTGTATGCTTAAGATAAACGTCTTCATATCAGTTTCTGTTCTCTAGTCATTGGATCTCGTTAAGTGATACGAAAATCAGACCGGTTACATATATTGTAGAGGTGACAGAGAGATTCTTCTGATAAATTGCATAAGACGAATATGTTGATTGTAATTGCTCTTCATTCCAGTAATTTCATTATTGATGCAAACTATTTTTTGTCTCTTAGGTCATCACCTATATAATTATATTATCGGTTAACGTACCATAATATTCCTATATAGTAAACACTGAAATTAGTGAACCATGTCTGATATAAAAACTGTTCCCTTATCTTTATTAGGACACAGACTATGAAAAATGAAGCTTTTACTAGCCGTCGTGCAAAGAAAATTTGTCTATTTGGTCATGCTCAGTTTCTTAACGTTGGTGAAACCTAGTGAAAGACGCACCTAACACAATCAGAAGTTTTTTTGATTACTAATTTAGAAACTTCATTTTCCCTATGATAACCACACATTTTATATAAGAGAATCAAACTGAAATCGATGAAAATTTCTAAATAGGTTGAAAAAATAATCTACTAATTCGACTATTCTAGGAATGCAACAAATCCGAAGCGTTGACATTTGATATAAGAAGGTTTGGATTCAATATCCTATATTTGAATTCGGAGTTGAATTTGATATAGATTTTTGGACTTTGTTTAGATTTGGTCTAAAAAAAATCAAATCCCTTCGATTGAATAGACTTAAGTACTATCAGCGATATATTTTCCTATATTCTGTGAATTTTTATTATTAATCTGTAATTGTAAATATCGGGATGTGAGGGTGTGGGGTATCTACTCGTGAGCACAACAACGCATACCCTTAACCATGAAAATTCGATTTAGATTCATAAAACGAATATCCATTCTGTGTAGAATTTTTCTCTCTATCAGAATCTAGAAAATTTTCTTATGTATTAAAATGTTTTTCTATCGATCAATGCCAAATACCGCACCGATCGACTGTGAGTGTCAGTGTGTTTTGGGTGTGGCTATCTTGTATCTCAACACCCACACCTGCATCGAAATGATTTCGTAAACAAGTGGCTTATGTTCTCGCAGATGTTCATCTAAACCAATCGTGGCGTTACATCAACCAATGCAATAATAATCAAATAGGCTCACAAAGAATTCATTACTCGATATGAAGAAATTCCGGAACATGATTTTTCATTCATAGATTTATCGAGTGAATTTAACACTGGAGAAAATTTATCCATCATCAAGACATTGATAGAGAAGACTCACAATAGGGATGTGGATGTGAGTTGTGATTAGAGACCTGCAGCGTACTCCGAAACTCGATTCCAACTCCGATTCCGTCGGAGTCAAAATCATGATCACCTTTGATGAACTTTTGGTATTTCATGTTAGAGAAACTTTACTCTTCAGCTTAACAAACAAAAAAAAGAAAGATAACAGTTGCTACATATATTAAAAACAAGATTCAAGAGAAAAACTCATATTGATAACCTTTTGGCTGTATCGTTCGAAAGATCGACTACGTAAAAGCATAATATCATCTATGAAAACATATTTCAATGATCCTCAATTTTCGATTCCTTGGACATAGTACATGTCGAAAACTTCTCAGTAATTGTTTTTTATTTTTTCACTGAACAACAAATGTAAAAGACATTCCAAATTAATCTGTTAATGATTCTTGGATTTTTCTTTTCTCGTTTGTTTCTTTATCGATTAGAGGCTACATTACTATTACTGGTAGTAAATAATAGCATATAAGGTTATTAATTATTGTAGGTAATTAGAAATAATCTGCGAAAGTAACAAAAGTAAAGAAGTAAAAGTGTTATCATGTAATATAGGATTAAAACTAGTAACTCATAGAAGCCATATTATTATTATTACCCAGTAATAATAATAAAAAATAATACAGTAAAACCTCTACTAGTGAGCACCTCTCTATAATGAAAAACTCGTTATTGTTAGCGTTTTTCACGAGTCCGAAAAGACAATTTTTGCTGACAACGGACCTCTCGAAGGTGAACACCTGATTATTATGACAGTTTTTCAATAGTTTCAACAACAGCTTATTCAACTTCATGCAAATTCACACTAAACTGACACATTAATACTCTATCGAGGTCAATTAATGCCAACAGAAGAATTTGAAAAAATTAAGATAAAAAAAGACGGTTTATTATCGATTAATAGCTTTTTATCAACTACTCGTAATCAAGATCTTGCTGAAATATTTGCTGGTATATTATCAAATATTGATGCTAACATGACATCAGTCCTCTTACAAATCAATATTAATCCATCAATACGATCTTCAACTGATGGAAGACAAACTTGCAAATTATTACCATGTTATTGGTCAGATTCATGCGAATCTAGACAATTAAAATAAAGCTCTAACTTATTATCAATTGGCAATCAAAATTTCCATGCAATGTTTCCCGCGTCCTCCTCCATTTATTGCAAAATGTATGCTGAGTAGAAATCTTCTCCCTTATAACGAAAATCGGTTAGATAAGGCATCATCATATATAAACGAAAATGAACGAATCTTGGCAAACTCATTATCAACTAATCATCATATGCAAACTTTTGTGCATTTGATTAATGCACAGAAATTCTTCGAAAAACGTGATTGGCCAGATGCCTTGGTAAGTTATCAGACGGCAAAAATGTTCTCATCAGCATGTAGCATCAAGTCATTCAAGCAATGCCCTTATCCTTTGGGGTATCGCTTCTGTTCATATTCAATAAGGTCAATTTGATGAAGCATATTCTATTTTGCAACAAGCTTTAGAAACTCTACTAGCTACTCATTCACCGAATCGCCATAATCTAGCCATAACATATACAATGATTGATGAAATTCTCGAAAATCAACGAAATCAGTCGACATTATTATACTATCAACAAGCATTGAATAATGGTGTGAAATGTCTACCACAAACACACTCAATGATTGTACACATTCAGCAAGCAATATCTTGACTGCAACGTTAATATCAAACTAATCAATTCAGTTAGAATGAATACTGAGAATATAATCCATTCATTTATATTCTTAAATCTAGAAGCTCGAAAAAAAAAACGTTAATTGTGTTATAAGCGTATATTTGTCAAATTTTCTTTTTCAAGTGTAAAGATCTTTTTTCAACCGTTATTGAAAAACCTAATCTTCTTGCAGAAGACTTTTGCAAAGTATATGGCTAATGCTTATTACAGTTAGCATTGTTTTAAAATGGACGACTGCGTTTATGACTATTTACTCGCTTTTCAAAATATTTCGAGTTCCTGTATCAAAATCCAATTAATAGTAATTGCTAGTAATATTACAAAAGTTTATTTCGCAACATCTCTCAATCTAGAAGTTGAAAAACCGATTCAATGATATTTTGAAGTAAAAGTTTGAAATATTATCAGAAATCACTATGTTGGTTTGATTGAAATAAAAAAAATCGACAGTGATTCCTGATGATATCGGATGTGGATGTAGGTATAGGGTGTGTATATTGGAATTCACTTCTCTCACACTTGTAGCCTCGCTCATGCATATTTGTTGTTGCATTCTACTTTCATAAACTTTTGCATTAATTTACTTCATGGATAAGTTTTTCTACATATCGATTATATCAATCAAATTAAGAAATAATCCTTTTCTTCAAAAAAGTACCAACCTATGTATTCGAATAGGAAAAAAAAAGATCTGTTTTAAGTTTTCAAAAAGAACTTTTCTCGTTCGATCTATTTTATCCAAAGATCTTTTCGATATTCTTTTCTGATTTTCTTGTAATGCAAATGGTTAACACATTTGGTTTTTAATCGAAGGATTGATGATTTAATTTTCTTTATCAATTGCGATTCTCATATTCTTCGAGTTCGTCCAAAAGCAGTTCTCCATTATTTTACCTGTCCAGAAGATATTTTGAAATATCTTATTCAGAGAAACAAACGAAAAAAAGTAATTTCATCGAATAGATGCCACTGCTTGTCTTGTAAATTGAGCTACGTTGACGATAAAACTCTGACAGAGGTGTACGAATGACTCATTTATCAGAGTATTTATTATGTAGTATCAAGCTATCGCATGAAAAACAAAAACAATAATAAGATGTTGACGATCGGATTACTTTTGTAGAGAAATAGTCACTCTCTCTCTATAAAATATTTCATAATTTTGTTTTGATAAACTCATATAAAAAAAATAATGGAGAACTACTCTTGGATGGACTCCAAGAATTAATCCAATAATGATGATGAGTGTGAATGTTCTCTGCTCTATCGCCCATTTACATTCACCCAATAGATAATTGTATTGGACTCCTTATAAAAATGATTTTTTTTTTGTAATAATTTAAAGTGTAATTTTATATCGTGTCCGTTTAAAAAGTAAATCAATTCCTGGTATTCCTATGTTAAACTTTTTACAATAGGCACACAGATATCTATACATTAGATAAGAATTTTAAAAAAAAACAATGACAAGACTTTGTCTTGGTGTTGTCCTTTTCATTTTAGTTTATCAATGGCAAGCCAAGAGCAAAACTCATATGAGGGCTTTCTTTCATCATATAAAATTAATATTCGTATTCTTCAATCAAAATTAACGATTGGTGCTGAACATTGTCAAACAAAAAAAGTCTATCGAACTGAGATGGATCAAGACGATGTCAATAATATTACACAAAGTATTTGTGAAACATGTCAACATTTATTTGAATTACTTCATGAATTGATCGAAAATGATGGAATATGTTCAAATAAAAGTCTTAAACTAATAGAACAGGAAACTAAACTATTACTAAATGTGACACTTACTGTTGTTTTTGGACGAGTATCACGTCAATTTAATATGGAATTTCAACTGGAAAGTGTTCAACTCGATGATATTACTCGATTGGAAAATATCATTAATGAGCATACGCGAAGACTTGAACAACTAGAATGGAATGCAAATGATCGTTTTGATCATGCAACAAAGCTAACATCTATTTGGGAAAAGAAATTTCAATTTCAAAATCTTTCACCTACTGATCACATCAATCTTTCTGATAATGATTGTATGATACGTTGTCAAATCGATAACAATCAAGGAAGAGCCACTCAAAACACACAAGCCTATTTTGGCAGTAACACCGACGTTCGGAAGATGCCAACAACTGAATTTACTACGGAAACATTTTCTAAAGAAGCCATTGTTATTACAAATCAAAGTTTTTTTCCTTCTAACAATAAACGCTATCAATCGATCCGATTTAATCTCCACCTTTCTCGTTCCTTGAAATCTGACAAGATTTTGATTGGTATTGTTTATCAACCTAATAATAAACAATGGTCTAATATTGAGTCATCAGATGATACTTGGCTTCTCAACGTCGGTAGTGGTTCTATACAACATTCTAATTTTAGTCCTCGCCAGTACACTTGGCCAATAAGACCAATTTCTCTGTCATCAAATGGCAATGCCAATCGAACTTCGCATGTGGACGTATTATTTGATATACACTCTCGTTGTTTAGCATTTCGTATTGACGATCAAACCGAAGATCAATGGGCTTTTTATTTACCTAAAAATTTACGAATCGATCAGCTATATCCAATTGTCATTCTTAATAGTTCAACAGTTTCAATTTCAATTGATATTTAAACAATCAACGATCAAAAATAAACAATTTTACAACAAGATTTTAACAACATTTGATTGTAATAACAAAGTTCATAAGAATAAAATAAAAATTCTAACCGTTGATTATTTGATTTTATTAAATAAATGAGCTTTTCTACGATACGAATAATGTGTGTGTGGGTTAGAAATAAAATAAAACCGATACACCTATAGATCCTTCAACTCGACCAAAAATATCTAAAACACATGCTATCAAATAAAGACATAATATGCTTTATATATGACCTACAAATATGGTGATATCGATGCATTATTTTATGCTGAGTAGCATTTTGTCTAAATATAAATTTCAATTATTCTATCCTTTTCTTTGATTTAATAACTTTTTTTTTCATTGGCATAGATTATTCGAGATTTTCTTTTTTGTTTCTTCCATCGTACAGAATGTTTCAGTAAATTATTTTTTTCTAATAAATGTGTTAAATATAATAACATAATTTTCTTATACATTACTACGCATAAGCTCTTTTTTTGTCATGATCGTAATCATGCCTCAAAAGTATGAATGATATAGAATACTAAATGAAACATATTCCTGCGTGATCGAATAAAAACAAATGATAATAATAGGAACTATAAGTTCATTTGTGTGTTTGAAATAATTTAATAAATATAATCTATTTATTGTTTACATAGAGAAACTATATGTTGACACAAAAATTAAATTCTTCTGACTTCATCTTATGGATGATAAGTATTGAAAAGAAGATCTTCATCGATATATATATACTAATCAATAACGATAAGTAAGATCTTGATGAATGAAAAGTGGATTTACACTAAAAACGCTATTGGAAAACAGAAGAATAAATTTCACAATATTTTTAAGAAAAAGTTCTGAATATGAATGAAATGTTATATATGTGTTGTCGAAGTATTCCATAAGAAAACATGAAAAATTATCATTCGGAAAAATTTGATGATCAAAAGTACTTTCCCTTTTCTTTCTGACCACGTTCAAATAATGAGCATTGTTAAAGTAACATTGAAATAATCAATGTCTACATGCGAACGAAGTTATTCAACATAAAAACTAGTATCCATTCGCATTCTCTGCGAAATTTCTTGAATTCACCACTTCGTGTATTTAAAAATTTTTAGTTCTGAACAACAAAGAAGACTATAATCGTTTTTTTTTGATTAAAATGATTTTTTTTTACTGTAAAATTGATTAAAAATAAAAAATTAGCTATTCCTTTCTCAATTAAAATACAATTTTTTTTTTACGATATTTAACTATTATTTCGAACATTGTTTATATAGACGTAAATAATTTTATTCGAGAAAATTCTAATAAACAAATTTCGTATTGGTAGAGAATGTAAATCATAATCTTTGTGTAAACATTTCTTGTGTTTTCAAATTAATTTTTATACTTCTAAGATAATCTTTAGGTATATATATTAGTTGTTTTCATGTATTAACTAACATATCATCTGTCTACATTTTAGGTCAGATATTAAATAAATGAATATTTGAAAGCTCGATTACATGCCAACGTTATTTTTCCTCGATCCATTTTTGTTGTTTTATCGTTCTCTTTTCACAACGTGATATATTTTTTCTTCTTTAGTGTTAGATATTCAACGTCGGTTCTATTGTGATATTAGTTATTTTCATATCATTCTTCTTCTATTAAATACAATGGTTCAAAGTACGTTAAAAATTATTTTTTATTAAGATTTAATAAAGAATAGAATAATTAATTT